GTGCATCTTTGTATTCAGTTCTCTTTATTCTTCTCCTAAAGCTCTTTTTAGAGGACATAAGGTTACAGTATTAGAGAAGTGAAAACCTGTGCTGTCCTTAACACACTATTACCCAAAGTGAAACACAGTAAAGGCACCATTATGCTGTGTGGATGCTTTTTTTTTAAGTTAATAAAATAAAGAGAATTGATACAACTTAATACAGGTTAACCTTTAAAAAACAAACCTTAGAGAGTATAAAAGACTTGAAAATGGGACCGAGGTTCACCTTGTAGGAAGAAAGCATCCTTAAACATGCATTTAGATGGTTCTAATAAAAAATGTAGAACAAGACTTGAATACTGATGTTAACAAACACTCCCTATAAAATGACAATTTATATTTAATAGAGAGGAAAAATATGATAAATATGAAGGATGTGGAGAAAAAGAGAATTTAGAACATCTACTGATGAACTGTAAAACTTAGGAACATGAAAGAGAGAAATTGAGAAGAATGGTTGGAAGGACAGGCTAAGAATGGAGTCTTAAAGGAATATTGGAAAATAAAGGAAATATAAAGGATATTTACAGATTGAAGAAATCATTATTTATCTCCAGAATACAGAATTAAAAAAATAGAATTTGATAGATGTAAAACAATGTTGCTACAGACATGTACAGTAGGTGGCGGCATGCACCTTAAAGTTGCCTGCGATCCGACATATTAGAAAAGAAGAAGAACACTCCCTATCCAATCAGAATGAGCCTGAGTTATTTTGCAAAGAGAGATGGGCAACATGATCTACAGCAAAATAGACCTACAGCTGTAATTTCAGCCAAAGGTGGTTCTGCATAGAAGCGTGCAGAAGTGGAAAGAATGCATCATTACCCTTTGCATCACCATGGTTCTCCAACTCTAGCACAGATGCTGCTGATGATACTTGGATTACAATCAGTCTGTCTCAAAATAAGAGTTGGTATCAACAATTTATAAAGTAAGCTGATGTAGAGCTTGCAGGTGGAGCAGTGGTTAGCTTGCACGACCCATGCACGGATGCCTTAAGGGCAGATTATACTCTGCCCTTAAGGCAGATTAAGGGCAGATTATACTTTTGCATCCGCACACATCAAATGTCGCTTTCGTCTGGTTGCGAACCAGATTTGCTGGTATGCTTCTGCACTGTCGGTCTGGAATTTCTAGGGACGCACACCACTTCCCGCCAAAACGCAAGGGGAAGCCTATTTGAGAACTAGCGAGAACTTCGGCGGCGCCGGTGGCAGTGTCTTCCAAAACAACAATGGCACGTCTGCAAGATTTCCCAGTCACGGAGATGGATCTAAAGTTTCTAGACATCGAAGAGGAACAGGTTCTGTTAATGGAGTTGGCAAAAAGACCAATTAACCTTTCGTCGTAGTTGTCTATTGTAGTTGTTCCTCGGTTTTTAAAAATGGCGCACCCTGGAAACGAATCGAAAAGGACGACCACACAGGCAGCCGGAAAGGAATACCAAGGACCAATCACAGCTGCTTTTTGTCTGCGCACTTCCGCTTGAGGTCTGCGCAGGTTTACGAGCTCTGCGCGGGGGGCGTGGTCACGCACAGAGACATATTTGACGGTTGCAGAGGCTACGTGTCAGAAGCATAAATTGGCCTTTAGTTATCAACGTGGCCGACCTGGATTCGAATCCGACCTGCGGTCCTTTGCTGCATGTCTCTCACCCTCTCTCATACCCCCTTTCCTGTAAGAATACTGTCGAAAAAACGAACCACTAGTGCCGCTAAAAAAAAAAAAAAAAAAGATGACATTTTAGAGCACAAAGATGACACAGAAACTGAAGTGTATAAAATAACAGTGAACTAAGTTAGTCAATATGGAAACAAAATCCACTGCTATTAAAATTCACATCCTTTTGTTTTTTTTAAAGCACAGAAACTTTACCAAAGGGCTATACGTTCTGAAAATACAAAATAAAACAGACATTAAATATGATCAAACCCATTAACTCACTGGAAACAACAAACTACCTATTGCTGTTAAATGCCAAAGAAAAAACGATTTGTCGTCAAAATGTGTGACATGCAGAAATATTAACAGAAAAGGTGACAAACCTGATAATAAATACTAGTACTTGACGACCATACATTTTTCTTCCTCTTAAAAAAAAAAGGTGCAAAGGTTTGCATGAAGTAACTTAACGTTTCTTCTGTCAGGTCTTCGAGGAGTTGGAAGAAATCGGCAAAACAATTCAAGAGGATGTTTTAGATGCCGGCATGTCTGTTCATGGAGAAACTGGTGGAGACATTAGCAAATGTCCCTACTATGCTGCCAAAATGGGTAAGTAAGAAACATGTTTTAAAACCTAAATGCGTGAGGATTGTTCGCTTCCTAAACTCTGTTATCTGTGTTTCACATCAAAGCGGCATCGGGGGGAACGGCGTACTTCGGTCAGCTGTTCATGGCTGCTCTAAGGCACCCGACAGGACAGGTCCTGTTTGCCACATGGTTCGCCGCCTTGGCTGGACTGGCTGCATGGTATCTGATGTGATCCAGCTGTTACAGCTGCTGTTAGAACTGAGGGGTGTTGAAAGGAAAGAGAGTCAGAAGACTGGAAAACCTCCACTAACCGATCAATATACAAACATTCAATCAGGTCTGTGCAGCTTTATGTTTTAAGCTTCAGCTTTTAGTTGCAGAACTTCAGCAGTCTAGTCTATAGAAACATTATATGGACTCCCTCCACAATGCACACATTTTTCCTTTTTAAATCTAAATACTGTTTGTTTTTTATTATTTCTCTACCTCCAACAGGCTATCCTTCCATTTGGTGCTGAAGTTCAAGTTATGTTAAAGCTTTTCTTACACAGAAACAGACCTTCTGTTATAACGTATACCTTAAAGTATGATAGCAAAATGCAATATTGTAACAAGAAAACGGTTAATCCTTCCAGTTGACAGTAAAAAGCTCGCTATAGGATGTGAGCTTTAAATCCATCAGAACAATGTGAAACATTGAAATACGCAAAAGTATTTATACACTTGGAACTTTGTCCCATATTGTCTCCAAAAATAGAATTCATGTTTTGATTTTTTTGGTGATAAACCAACACAAAACTTCTTTTTACTTCATGTGAAAATTTTTAAAACGTGTTGTGAATTTATCCAGCCCCTCAATACTCTGCCGAACTAATTCTTGTTGTAGTTTTACTGACAAGTTTTTTTTCTTCTAATTTTCATATTCTGTTTCAATGAGGTCTAACTTTTATTCTGCTTCAAAATTATGAGCTGAATTGTGTTGCTTTATCTCCAAAAATACCTAAAAGATGTATTATTGCCTTTTGAAGCCACATTATATATTGTACCTTATGCAGAAATTGCACTTAATATCTGGACATTTAGTGTTCAGGATTTATTTTGGTAACGTAAAACTATTCCATATTTTTACACGGCAAAAAACTGAAATCTAAGGTGGCCATTTTTCTTATAATAAATATTTGTTTTTTTAAATTAAGCAGGTAAGTGAGACAATTTCAATTTACAATAGAAAAAAACTAGTCTCTTTATTCAAGTGCATAATATCTAATTATCTTATTGTAAGGTTACGAATTCTTGTTCCATTGAAAGATCATTTAATTTACCTGCTCAAATTAAGGGTAAATAGACTTATTTTTAGGCATTTTCACTAATTTTTAAATCGTCTTTGCAGTATAACTACCGGTAATCATCAAGTCAAGATCATTTTGCAGTTTTTTTTTTTTTTTTGGTCCACTGGACTTTTCTTCCAATTCCAGATAAGAAAGCAAACCCTTACACCCTCCAATAACATTGTTAATTTTTTCAGCTAATATACTCGATGTATGTATTTATGCGAGTGGTGTGGGTGAGCAGAAACCGAGGTCTTGTGTGTTTGACGTTGCATTAGTTCATAAGATAATTACTTAGACAGCCCCTCCCTCCTCTAAAAATATTTGATAAAGCTGTAAATGACAGCATGATGGTCCATTAGCTAATGAGTCCAGGGTGATCAGGGATGAACTGGTGAAGCAAACATAATGTATACAGCAGGTGAAGCCCTAATGAGGCATGGTTTAAGTTGATACGCATCCTAATACTGTTTTTTTTATTTTTATTTTTTTTTATTTCCCTGAATAAAATCTGAAAATAGTCACATTTCATTTTATTCTGTATTGCACTTAAATGTTTCCGAGAAAGTTGCATGTTTGGACTCTGGTACAGTTCAACCAAAAACAGTAGATAATTGACATTTCCATCCCCTCAGTGGTAAAATACAAACCAATACGCTCTATTGTAGTGCATGACCGACTAAAAATACTGTTTTTAGCTAATTGCATGATTTGATTGCCTAAAGTAAATGTGTCATTGCTTACCGGCAATAGGAGCTCTCATTTGGATAAACATGAGTGTTTTGTTTAATGAGCTGCTAATGTAATAATTCTCTACCAGCCCAGCTCATCTCTTTATCCATTTCTGTGGATATGCTTTTAAAATTATTTCCACAATTTTCTGTGAGAAGCTTTCCATTACGTGTCACCTAAACTTTGTTCATTGTTGAGTAGAACCTTTTGAAGGAGTTATGTTATTGATTACCCAAAGACTTGTACTGTTAGTGAAATGTTTGCCTGGTGCATTTGCACGATGCGTTTACTGACACGCAGAAGGATGTGTGGCGTTTCTAGGCTGAAGCAGCTGCCTGGTTAGAAACATGACAACGGGAAATGATGGTGGAACGTCTCAGGTTTAGCACAATGAATTGCATCTGGTGAGGAAAAACACAGGAACTGCTTGAAATGCTGTTTTAAGTCCATGTTTTATTGCTTTCATATGGTTTAAGTATGCATCAGTATGTTAGGACCTACTGAAGGGACACTATCTGCAGCCATATGTGAAAATGTCTGACCAGTGCGTGCTAATTTGTAATTCCTTTAGCTTTATTTACTCTGATCCTAATTCCTTTGTATCCAATTAGAGCTTTGTGACTAGCTAGAGCACTTTCATTGTATGAGTGAATACAAAGAGTTTTATTGTGTTGTCATTAACAAAATAAAAACTGATTTCCTCTTACTTGTCATTTCTTTTTTAGTTGTTTCTTAAAGCAGGCATTCCCAAATATTTCAGTCTCTGAAAATAAAATGTAACATTCTGTTGAACCCCTAGAAATAGATATTTATTCTTCATGCTATATTTATTTATTCAGATAAATTGTGTAATAAAAAAAATGAAATTTATCATTGTTTAATGGGAGATTTCATTATTGTCCATTTTATAACTCAATGGTGTATATTTAAAGTTGGAATCACATATTGCATAAATAAATGTTAAATCATGGGACACAGATCGCATCTCGTAAAAATAAAAAAATAAAATCCCCTGACTCCCGTTTTGGGAACCCCCGTCTAGTTTTCTCATACATGAAGCTGTAGGAAACATTTTCCTTCAGGAATGATTTCCAGAGCTGGATTTTTGTTTTTGGGATCCATCTTCTAAATGCTCGTTGCATCCTCTACAGCAGTTTGTCGCATACTTTGAACAAAACTTGCCACCATTTTTCAGAGGCTAGATATTAAAATCTGAATTTATTCCAATGTACAGATTTGGATCTCCAAAGATCCTGCAGGAGGAAAGGGCCTCTCGGCTGCTGCTGACTGATACTCCTTAAACAGCCTTGTCTATGCAGTGTTTTTTAGTTGCAATCTCTATTTTTTTAGATTGTTTGAAGCTTAAAACTTTAATTAGGTGGTCCAACCTAACCGCCATTTGGGGCCTAAGTTGAAAACAGTTTTTCTAGTTTTAAATATTTTTGAAATCCATGTATCATTTTCCTTCCACTTTATTTTATCATATAACTCATTAACGTGTTAGTGATTGGTTGCAGTGCCCAAAGCATAACTAGTTTAAAAAGGATGATTATATCATTAAGCCCTTGATTTTCATTCTATCCTGAAATAATGTATTTAAATTAATTGTTTAAATGGTTCTAGGATGATTGCAATTAGTACATTATTGAAATAATCAACTGTGAATTGTAAAGTGCATCGAGATGACATGTTGTTTATGGCGCTATATAAATAAACTGAATTGAATTAAACTAATTTAATAATCGATTAATCGTTAACTGGACTGTAAAGCATGCTCACAGAGAGCCCCACTTTGAGCAGCAATTATACCAAATTGTAAAAAAAATAATTTTTTTTACTATTTTGCATTTGAGCTAGAAATCATTTTCGTCTGTCAATATGCTTTAACCAGAACTCCTCAAGTGGAAAAGTTTTAGTTTCATCTGGTTTAATTTCATAAAAAGCCTTCTTGCTATCTGATTAATCAAAAAAAAATAAACAGATTTATCGATTTGCCAAATAAACATTAGTTGCAGCGCTAACTCCTTTTGCATAAAAACATCTAAAATCTCACGGCTTTAGGTAAAATCTATTTTTTAAACCGGTCCAAATGTTGATTAAACTTGTACAGAATATACTATCCATACGATACCTGGTGGGATACTTGGTTTACTATTTTTACATAAACTTTATTACAGTTGAAACAAAAGTATTCAATTGACAATTAGAGTTCAGGAAAGCTACAGTGTTTAAGTAGATGAATGTCAAATCCCCCATTGTCAGACTAACAATAAACCTCATGAAAAGATGTAATGTGACTTTCTCATTTTAAGACTGAGAGCTGACAGATGAAATGTAAAATAAAAAAAGGCCCACTCACTGTAGTGAATTAGCTGGATTTAATCCTAAATAGACTCTTTTCACTACAGTAATTTATTATCTGCTTATAGATTTATAGTAACACACAGATGACCAGCATGCACTGAGTGCTACAACAAGTCTCTGCAGCCGCCTGTGGTGATCGGCAGACCGGCACATCCTCCAATCCAGGGATCCACTTTAACAGGGAAACATAGGAGGCGATCTTTTGGATTTTTCAGTGCAGGGTAGGGTAGAGTGCTTCGGTCTGAAAATAAACCCAACGTTCCAAGTCTCTCAGTCTTTAACCACTGCTTCTTATGATCCGGTCCTTGTTTTGCACGCTATCTTTTCTTATTTGGACTTAATTCCAGGAGGATCTTTTACCTTGGGGGGAAGAAAAAAAGAAGATAATTTCTGCTTTATAAATAGGACAAAATGAAGCTTTTATTAAGCTGGAAGAATTATTTAATCTAAAAACACACAGGTGTCTATGACAGCCACAAACCAGATGACTAAAGAGTGCAGAGTTTTTCTACTACAGCACACACAGACTGATCTGGAGCACAAAAAGCCATACCTGGTTTGTGGCTGTCAGGAAGAGCTAAACAATTTCTTTAACTTTGAGAGGAAGCCCTCCTGTGTGCTTTCCCCTGCCTTAGACTGCTCACCACTGCTGCCCCCACCTGGACAGATATTAACACTGCAGCTATTAACACTGCGGTTAAGAAATTCCCATTTTTAACAAATCTGGGAGGTCTATGATGCAAAGAAACAGGAGTTTTGGTAATTAATGGAGGAAAGAAAAGAAGCATGTTAGAGTGAGCAGATTCTCATACCTGTGCTGGTGTTTGTGACTCCATTCACCGTTCCTTCTACATCCGTCTCATCCTCAGCGTAGCTCATTAAAAGAGATTTCTGTCTATCTGTCAAAGTCCTACAATAGAAAACATTTTATAGGAATTTAAATATTAGAAATTATTATCTTGTCATTGTTCGTGAGCTTTGTAGAGAGAGAAAGATATCCGTGGCTAGGTTCTTACTTTGGTATTTTTACTTTGACATGGACATAATGGTCTCCAAAGCCATACCCGCTGACGCGAGCAATACCTTTTCCTGACAGACGGATCCTATGGTCAGTCTGGACCCCTGCAGGAATCTAGGGAGAAGAAAAAAAAAAAATATATATATATATATATTTGTTTTTACTATCTTAAAGAGACTGAATTCTTCTTATTTACTCAGATTAAGTCTCTCTATACTTACAGACAAATTGAGTGTTTCATAAAGTCCTTGCGTTCTGGCTGTTCCTCCTAAAATAGCTTGTGCAACAGAGACATGCAGATCTGAATGGATGTCTGCACCTTCCCTCCTAAAGACTGGACTCTTTTGGACCTAGACAAAATAAATATGTATTATATCAAAGAGTCAAAATGTCATGATGCAAAACACTTTATACTGTTAGTTGATGAAAAAATCTCAAGCTTTAAGTTCTGCAGCAAATACCAACCCGAAATGTGATGAAGATTTCCTTCTTTCCAACTGGCATCCTGACCGTCTGACCATCCTCCACTCCTGATATTCAACAAAATACAAACTAGTGCTTAGTTTGGATTCAAAAAGGTAATCAATATGAGTCTTGAATGTAGAAATTTAAAAATCTTAAAATTAACTGGTTCCTTCACCCAGTTAGAGGCCTTCCAACAGTATTTGTGCCATACTTTATGTGACAGACTGACAAAATAGTGCATGGCTGGATTGGCATTTGCTATGTGTGCATGATTGACACATTGAGATGGTAGCTGCCCACTGGTTCCCCGTCTTAACTTCCATAGATAGGGAACCTGCTTAGCATTGATAATGCTACGTTCAGACCGGACGCTGCAAAAGCAGCAAAATCGCGTCTGCTGCTTCATTTTTGCTGCTTGTACCAGTTAGTTCTGACGCGTGGCTGAAGCAGCTTTGCTGCTCTGGCTGTGCGGTCCAAAAGTGTGTCTCACGCGCGTTGGGCAGAGCTTCACTATCCTTTCTCTGCCT